CTGTATCAGCACATTAATGTCTTATTAATGTAAAAATATTGTTAAGAGTGCGAATTTTTAGAGTACAAGTGTCGTGTTTAATTATTATATTACAAGTAGGATAAAACAAGCCTGGAGATGCAGGTGTAGACGGGTAGTAAATAAACTGTTCCTTTTGTGGATAAGGTGGCGGTGTTCCCTGTACACAAAGAATTAAACGATTATCTTATATATAATAAAACTCTTAAAAAAACTACAAAATAATTTACAGAATAGTTTAATGTTTAACTTTGAAAATAATTTAAATATTGAAGCGTGATTAATGGGAATAATCATAATATCTTTTGCCATATTAACGACTCTAATAATAGAAAATAAGAGGCAAAATGGAAATATATTTTAATCAATAATAAAATTTTTATCGTCACATTTTCTTTTAATAAGATATGAGGCTTTAGATAAATTTTGTTAGATAATAAAGTTTTTGTTTAAGAAAGTTATTCAAATTAAACACCCAATATTGCAAATTTAATGTGAAAAAGTTCGTGAGGAAGATAATAACTTCATAAATATTCATGATTTTATCATGCTTAAGAGAACACGAAAAAAAGTACAATAACCTTATTAAAAACACGAAATGGCTAACAGAAAATGCTAGAAATTTATGTGCAAAATAAATTTTTTATTCAAAAATACTTAAAAGATACAATTACTGTTGTTCTGTGTTTTAAATGAATGATATATAACAGCTACTGGAAAATTTATAAACTAACCGAGACTTGTCAGCTTCAGTCAACTTATAAATTCGAAGTCAAATAACAGCACAAATTATAATTCAATCAACGTCAACTTAATNCAGAATAGTTTAATGTTTAACTTTGAAAATAATTTAAATATTGAAGCGTGATTAATGGGAATAATCATAATATCTTTTGCCATATTAACGACTCTAATAATAGAAAATAAGAGGCAAAATGGAAATATATTTTAATCAATAATAAAATTTTTATCGTCACATTTTCTTTTAATAAGATATGAGGCTTTAGATAAATTTTGTTAGATAATAAAGTTTTTGTTTAAGAAAGTTATTCAAATTAAACACCCAATATTGCAAATTTAATGTGAAAAAGTTCGTGAGGAAGATAATAACTTCATAAATATTCATGATTTTATCATGCTTAAGAGAACACGAAAAAAAGTACAATAACCTTATTAAAAACGCGAAATGGCTAACAGAAAATGCTAGAAATTTATGTGCAAAATAAATTTTTTATTCAAAAATACTTAAAAGATACAATTACTGTTCTGTGTTTTAAATGAATGATATATAACAGCTACTGGAAAATTTATAAACTAACCGAGACTTGTCAGCTTCAGTCAACTTATAAATTCGAAGTCAAATAACAGCACAAATTATAATTCAATCAACGTCAACTTAATATAATAAATAATATATAAATAATTTTAAAAATTAAAATTTTGAGTGGCACTTTATAGTTAGAAATTATTTTAAAAAATGCTAAAATATATTATTGTTGAAAAGGTGAATATTAATAAAATTTATATTAGTTTAATGACTGATCACTCACCAATAATTTTCAACTTTATTTCATCTAATAGTTAAATTTAATATTGATCAATGCAACATTTTAATTAAGAATACATACAGTATGTACAGTACTTACAGAGTTTAATTAATTATTACATTAAAATAATTCTTGCAAACATATTATATATTATTAATATTAAATATATATAATTTGCAACCGAGTTATATAATTTGTGATTTATTTTATTTTTATTTTAGCTCAGTAAAAATTTAATTTCGAACTTCATTAATGGAGCATGATGTTACAAGTCTCTTATTTTGTAAATTAATTTTTGTATGTTTCATTTCTACGCTTGGATTTTCTAACGTACTACAATATAAACCTTATTCTAAAAAATAATCTGAGCGTGTATATAAGATATAAATTCGTAGCTTTTATATATTAATTTATAACATTTACAAGAATAAAGTGGCTGTGATTATAGCAGATATTTTGAATATTTAAGACGTCAATTTGTTTTTTTACATTCGAGATAAGTTAATTCAAAAGATGGCTTAGATCGTGGCAACACCAGTCATTATTAAAGTGGAATTTAAAGGAATCAATCTTGAAAATCATAAGTTTTTGTTTAAATCACCTGCCGAACAGGTGTTCTCGTCTGAAGGATAAGTCTATATCTCAATTTACATCTATAAATAATGACGCTTTAAAATATTTTTATCGTTATATAAAGCCACTAAAAATATAAAAGACATCTAAAATATATATAATTATTTCTCATAAATACAGTAAGGTTAATTAAATCTAAGCATTGTAACTTTTTTTGTAAACAAGTCTAGATACTAAATTAAGAAAAACAATTTTATATAAACTTTAAAAAGTTTATTTACAGAAACAAATCAAATTTAAACATCTTATCATTATAACACAAACAAACAAAACCAACGAGAGATTGTTTATTTTTTAAAAATTTAGTCAGTAAATAACTAGACGTGGGTCTCAATTTATATCAATAGATGACGTTTTAATAAATTTTAACATTTAAAATGAATTAAAGACATCATACCTGAAGATTATGATGATATTGAGGACTTTGTGGTTGCATACTTATTCTAATTTTATAAAATGATTAAAAATATAAAATTTATACAAAGTAAAATGAATCTGAAATGAAAAAAAAAATAAATTATTTCATATTTTATAATGAATTAAATGTCTAGTTATTAAAATATTTAATTTATTAATGTGTCAAAGCGACGTTAGATTAATTCGATACATTTCTAAATTAACTAATGTAGAATTAAAACTTTTTAATTGATTAGAAATTCATTGATTGTAACTTTAATAATGAACACTTATTGGATTTTCCAATTATATTTACCAACCAAATTAAGACTGTTATTGATTTAATCATTTGTAGAGAAGAGTTTATGTAATCGTTTAAGTGCTATTGAAACTTTTCTAACAAAGCATGTTTGTTCTATTTATTTTGTCCTAATTTCGTACTGTTTGCTTATGAATAGGCCCTACACATTTACCTGTATCAGCACATTAATGTCTTATTAATGTAAAAATATTGTTAAGAGTGCGAATTTTTAGAGTACAAGTGTCGTGTTTAATTATTATATTACAAATTAAATAGGTGATTTAGAACAAATATTAATGTTTAAAAAATTAATTGATTATAATAGAATACATAATTCTAACTACAGAATAAATGTTAATTAAATATTTATATATTATTTAAAATATAAAAAATTAAATATAATTACTAATTTTAGGGAAAAATAATAATAATTTCTTCTAATTTTTATAATTTTTGAATATTTCTAAAATACATTTTCGGCTTCCAAAATATAATTTTAATTAAATCGCCGATATGAAAAAAATTCGAATTATGAAAATAATCAAATTCGAGTTAATTAATTTTGTTCTAATTATATTATTTAATAAAATTAAAAATTATTAAATAATATATATTGAAAAATTATATAATCATTTAATAATTTATGTTTAAAGATGAGATAAATTAATATAGTGGGTTAAACTAGAAGCCATAGTTGAAGGTAATGGAATGCAAAGTTAACACGATAGTTATAGTGTAGATTGCAAATTGAATAACAGATATAATGATGATGCAGTCATTATATTATTTTCCCGGCTCTGTTATATATAACACAGCGATCGGTTAAAATATGACTCCCGAAGATTTTTACATTTTTGGACTCGAGATACCGTGAAACGTCGAGAAATGCAAAAAATTTCAGGGTTTTTTTCTGTAGGTATGATGTTAGTGTGTGTGGGGAGGGTATGATTTTATTCATACTCTTTGAAGCTTAATAACTCCTGTTTTTGTCGAAAATTTCTGAAATTTTGCAGGGAGGTTTGTTTATTAGGGGGATTGATGGTATTAAATTTTGGCGGTTAAAGGTCGAGGTGATGGGGAGATAAAGAAAATCGTATCATATCTCGAGAGGGATCGGACTTAACGATTTTATTCACCTCGTTATTCGCCGCCACCAAATGTTGCCGGAAAAGTTAAGCAACTCGCTGGATTTTTGAAGTTGGTGTTGGCAACGCAAGTAGTTTATGTTTCGTGTAGTGGAGACTATAAACTTAGGCATTAATTTTAATTTTTAATACTAAATTAACCTTTTCTATTCGATATCCTATTCCGCGAGTATTGCGGATTGTCTGCTAGTATAGGCCTATAATATTACATATTTTCATTTTAAATTGTACACAATATCATTTTACATTAATGAAAATATTAATGTTAAAGAAAGAATTAACAAGGAAATTAAATCATATTTTTATTTAAGAAGTAATACGTAAGCAGACAATTTAAAAATTTGTTGAAGATTATATAAATAATTATATGTACAGTAGAGCGTCGATTTTCCGAAAGTCAATCATCCAAAACGTCAATCATCCGAAAGAATTCCAGTCGTCAAATTTAAATTTTCGCCAGTGCTGTGGCGCTTCAATCTTTGGCTATGTCTTGGGCTACTCAAATATTTTACGTTTTTGATATAAATTAACATCTGAAGTATAATTTTTTATTATTTTTATATTTTTTAATATGTTTATTTTGTTCGTACAAAATAAAAAAATAATTTTTAACGATACAATAGTCTTCGTTAGGNACAGCAAAAAATATGTATATAAGTAAATTAATTAAATAATTTAAAATAGCAATATCTTACCTGTTAGAAAATTGTCAAATGATTGAAAAGATTGTAAAAAATATTGCCAATTTTCCTGAACATCTTCAGATAAAGATGCTAATATTGAACTGCTAGTTATATTAAGCAATGGACTATAAACTTTTTGTAAAGCAAATTGTATTCTTAATATTATGGCATTTCCAAACTCATCATCTGTTTGTGCATTGATCATTCCAACAAAGACATCCTAAAAGTTTTTAAATTTTTGTAATTAATTTTAAATTAACATCAAATTGATTTGGTTTCATTAAATTTATTATAAATACTAATAAAGCTATTTATCAATAAAATTGTTTTCTTGTAACATTATTTCAAAGATCACAGTCTTTGCCTTTAATAAATATGTTTCTATTGAATAATTTTGTTTTTAAGAAACTATTTTCTCTAAAATCTTTAAAATAATCTGTCAATGACATTGCTAAACTTAATGTGCATTTCTCATGCACATTTATTGCAACTTCTTATTATTAAATGCTTTAATACTTAGTTCTTTCAAATTATTACTATTTTCTATGCTATAAATGCCTAAATATGATGCAGAGAATTATTTCAATTCAATGTATTTCCTACAGAGTGCTATGCCTAATTACCATGAAAAGGCAGGATTGCATAAAAAAGCCACAAACTGAATTTCTTAAGGGCAATGTCCCAAGCAAGTGTCCCAGTTGCCCAGCTCTAACAACAGTATTGCCAGGATGAAGACAATGAAAAAGCAAGCTTCTGAGAAGACATATAAACAATATGACCACACTTAATAAAATCTTTTTATTAATTAAGTTCTCAATATTTTATTAAATTAAGTATTTTTTGCTACTATTATCTCTTGTGTAGAACTATGGCCCCTACTTCAAAACTGACCTCAACTCAAATTTTTTTTTCAGTAAAAATTTGCAAGTTAGTATTTCATCAATCACATTTGATAATTCATCAATCATAGGATGATAATTTTTGTGTGTTAACTCAACCTGATGGAATTACAATGGAATTACAATATTCAGAAAGCACCTGCTGTTTATCAAAACAGCAAGTGCTCTCTGTTAAAAACAAGATTTCAAAAATTGAAGTAATTTATTTGTTCAAGTCAAAATTGGCCTAAACCGCTCTTAATAGAAATGTACTCAATGTTACATTTCATACAGAAGTTTTATCAAAAATGTATAATTTTACTTCGTTATATAATATACAATGACTCCTGTTTACCAAAATTTTAAAAATTTTATATTATAAACATTTGAGTTGTGGAACCATTACAAACAAATATTGATATATTCAGTTGTGTGAGCAAAAAGTTTGAGAAATGCTGTGCCAGACAACATGGCTACTCTCCAAACACCATTGAAAGATCTAATTTGTCATCATTCCTCCATCAGCCTAACAATCACTCCTATGAAACCGTATACAAAGATGTTACATATGACAAAACTGGCTGCCCTGTACAAGGAAATTGCCAGAAATAATAACTTTCAATCAGTGGCGTGCTGTCATTAGAAGCAACGGAAGTGCAACTTCCCTTGTATTTTATAAAAAATAAATACATATTAATTTTAATTACATGAAAATAATTGCACAATATTTTATTATAACCGCGTTATGTATCTTATTACAAATTTCTATACTGCACGTGAAAAAGAAAATAAGATTGCTATTGTATATTCAAATATTAGTGGCGGAGTGGAATCTCTGTATTGTCAGATTCCAAAAAGCCAGATTTGCGCACGCGCTTTACAGAGCACCAACCTCACCCGGTTTAGCTGGTGGAAGATTACGACCTTGAGTTGATGCTACACATTCCAACGCTTCCAATGCTATCCGGGACCGGTTCTGGGCTGTTAGTCGCCCGCCCGCTAGATATTTGGCCAATTACATGAATAACGAGTAGATTTATAACTTAAGCCAACCAATAAGAATTTACTGGTATGTTTTTACGATAGTTCTGTATAATTGATGGGAGTTTAAAAAATCCATTAAAATATTTGATATATTTATTACGCTCTCCGATTTTATATTAAACCGGTCATTTTCAATGTTAAACCGGTGATATTACGATTTTGTATGTCCCATCTCTAAGGGGATGTAGAAAAAAACGTGTACAATTCTTGTATAATGTTAAAAAATTAACTGTTACTTTGACAGTGTCATTTACAACTAAATTTAATGAATGAGAGAGATGCACCAGGTACAGAAAAAGCGCTAGAATTTATTTTCCTTAAATTTACAATTTATGTATCCGTTTGTCATAAAAATTTCTTTTTCCACTTTTTTCCCGAGACTACAAATATTCGAGTACAAAGTAACTGGTTTTGACTTATTTCTACTTAAGAAGTAGTTAAATAATTAAGCAATTAGAGAATTGGGGACATAAACAAAACCCTGACGAAAGAGCCGGAATATTACTTAAACAAAAGCTTAACCAAACAAATCTATAGCAGAGTATAGTGGGGACTGATTTCTTCGAAATACTGTATTATATGTAATAAAGACAGAAATTTTTTCTGTTCAATGAGAGTGACCAAAAAGTTGTAAATTTTGGAATTTTTGTGGACAACACCTGGTCCTAAAACGAATTAGTTAGAAAACAAAAGACGGACAATTTATTAAGTTTAATGTATTTAGATTTTTACAGCTATGATGAGAAACATTTAAAATTTACAACAACCCTGTCGCATCCTTTGAGATATACTAGTGATGAGACAAAAGAGACATTAACCAGTATCGGCACCCTCGGGATTTGGCATGCATGCATGCACCGCACACCTACCAAGATCGACTCTGATTCCATCCACGAGTCACTGATAGGGAGCACTTTTAACTAAGTGGATTGTTTTAATAATTAAAAAGCAAAAAATATCTTATGCTATTTTTATTTACGTTTCTTCATAAAACTATATTCATACAATTGAATATTTTGTACCAGGTATGTATAATTGTATATCCATCACACATTTTATTTTAACAAGTAAGTTTTTATAATTTTATTTTTAATTTTAGCCCTTATATTATGGCTAGCAATTTAGAATGTAATTGTGATATTGAAAATTTATTTCAAAAAGTTTTGGTTCGAGACCTTATAATGAAAAAGAAAACATTATTTAAAGAGAAAGACCGATGCCTAAATTAAATATAAATACGTCAACAAAAAAATTTGTTCGACATTTTTACGATAAAATTTATGAAGGCGTAAAATGGCTTTGTGGATGCGTAAAAATGTAAAAATTGTTTTGTTGGCCTTGCCTATTATTTTCAAATGAAATTAGTGTGTGGAATAAGAATGGCTTTGACGATTTAAATAATTTTAGTAAAGCTGNAAAAACATAATTTTTAACGATACAATAGTCTTCGCTAGGCTTAACATCGACGAAAAGTCAACGTGAAGAGACATGCAACGGAGAAAAATTTCAACACGGGATAAATTAATATATTTTTTCGTACATAATTGGTTATCCGAAAAATAAGTTATCCGAACAACCCCAGTCCCCAATTGATTCAGATAAACGACGCTCTACTGTATAAACTGAAGACTAAATATGAACGAAAGTTTGAAGTTGTCTTATTAATTTTTTTTTTCTTTTCTGTTTATAAATAAAATAAAACATTGACTCTGCTAATGTAACACATTTTAAAAATTTCTTTAAAATTGTGTGCAGTAGAGGAATAAAGAATTTTTAAAATGTGTTAGATTTGTCATTCGGTGTGATAAACCCTTACATAAGATAGCCTTTATAGGTATGTAGCCAATCTTACCCATTTTCACTGGATGCAAAAACTAGGTCCTTCTTTCTGAGGCTAATTAGAGAATTTTTAGATGCGTCTAAAATTATGTTAGATTTTCTGCAAAAATGCAAAAAACTGCATACAAAATAGTACTGTAGAAGCCAAGTTCTTTGGGTAATCCTTAACCCTCTTCCTCTTTCTTGCAGGTGGAATTTCTAAAAATCCCTTCTTAGTGTGCATTCTCGTGGTATACCCTAATTGTGTACCAAACTTTAACTTTCAACTCCTAACCATTTGGGTTTTATTATCATCATCAACCCATCTCGGTTATAAGATTAATCATTATTATCATATTTTAAAATGAAATTGAAAATTTGAATGTTGTTGAATTGTTGGAAGCTAAATTGATTGATTGTGAATTTATTCATAAAAAATTAAAAAAAAGTAATGATTTATCAATAAGAAATGATTTACAATTTATAATTAAATAATTTCAAGTTCTATTTAGTGAAATTGTCAGTTTATATCTTATAGTTTAGTTGAATCTTTACAATATACAAATTCCAAAAATCAAATAAGAGCATCTTTAATTAATTAAAGAAGCCTCATTTAAGTAAAAGACAAATTATTCTTTACATGATATAGTAAAAATTGATAATAATAATAATAATAATGTTTTTTATTTACTTATAAAAGTTTTCTTTTGAACTTCTTAAGAAAACATTTTAATTTTCTAGGAACAAAATGTAATGACAGGTAAAGCAAGACAAATGGAAATAAGATCTTTATATGAAATTCTTCCAGTAAAAGAAGGTAATTTTATTATAATAACTATACAAGTGTTTTAGTTTAAATGACAGTTTATATTTTAAAACTTAACATAGGTATGCCTTATGAGTGGATCAATACAGATTGGTTAGGAAAATGGCTCACCAGTGACACAGGAAATATCTTGCCCATTGACAATTCTCAGTATTTCTGTGTGCATGGAAAGTAAGAATTCTAATTTCTAACTTAATTTTATTAATTATAATGATGAAAATTATATGCTACTTTTAAAATAGGCTACATCCAGACCAAGTTACAAAAATGAAATGTATTAGTTTGGAGGCAGTAAGAATTTTTTAAATTTATATTACTTAAAATTGTTTAATATAATAACTATTATTTAAGTAAATTTTTTTGATGACGTAGGCTGAAAAAATTTATGAGAAATATGGAGGAGGCCCAAGATTTAGGTATTAAAATTTTTGAACAATTTCCATTTGGTTATTTCAATTTAACTAATTTATTCATTTTTATTTTTCAGTAACTTATCTCTCTGTAGAAATTGTGTTGAAATGAGATGTAAGTTACTTCGACTGAAAGCCAAGATACAAGAAGAAAGCAAAATACTTACAAATCTCGTAAAGGCAAAAATTTCTGAGTATGTTTTTGTTATATGAAATATGTTATAATTAAACAAAATTTTAAACAATAATCAAAACTTTCAGTAAGATTTCCAAAGCAAAGGAAGTTTTACAAACTTCTGTTTATGAACTGTAGAAATATATTTTCTTTTTTAAATTTTACAAGGAATAAAATCTGTTGTTCAGATACTACTTTCTGAGAAAATACTGTCTGTACAATAATAAATTCAGAAAAGTAAGAAGCAAGAATCGTTTTTTATCATTGCCATGTTGTAGCAAAATTATGAATGAACTTGCATTCATATTTGCAGGTTACAACGACAGGCAAAGTAACATGCAACATTAAACAGAATAAATTTCTTTTAATAAGATCTTTACACAAAAGCACTTTTGCCTGAACTATAAGGCTTTGTTAGTTAAAAATTTCAAACATTAAGAACAACATTAAGTAATAATTTATTTTTGGAAAGTATCTAATATATAAAAATATTCAGATTTATTCATAATTTTGCAACATGATGCCAACAGTAGAAAACATTTCTACTTCTTTTCACTTCTAAATATCAGGGGAAACAAGTGCCTGTACAATGACAAACTGTATTCCTCATAAGATGCTAAAAATAAAATGCATTTTCGAGTTTTTCAAATTTAATTTTTGTAAATTTCAAATTTATTATGATATTGAGTATTTACTTTACAGCAATATATAGTTTTATAGCCCAATACAATATCAGTGAAAATAGTTTTGCACTAAAATATCACTGAAAGGTTTTTATGTTGACAATTTAGCAATGAATGACAATATAAATGTGTTGACAGAACATTATAAATACTTATAATGTTCTGTCAACACTATTATTAGCACTTTCCTAAATATTCTAAGAAATCAGTAGTAGCTATTAAATTATGATGATAAAAGAGACAAAGACATTTGATATATGTGAATAAATTTACTTTGTTTTATTAGGAATTAGACTGGAGAGAATAATTTCTTTTAAAAAATTTTTACAAGCTGAATATCCACATGATTGATTTTTGCATGCTGTTTGAATGCTTTTGACATTGTGGATGCACAACCTAGATAAACTGAACATCAAAACTGTGCAGTTACATGCTTGAGCTGAATGAACTTTTTCAATGTGCAAATCAGATGCAGCCATCAGCAATGATTAAACGTCATCAGATGGTTTTACATCCTTTTCTACAAAATGGCTCACATTAAATGAGAAATTAATAGAATAAGTTTATAATTTCCCAGAAATTTTTGATAAAAGGGAATAAAAAATATGATGACGACAAATGATAAAAAAAATTAATAAATTGATGTTTTGATTTATTTTTACTAAGCCAAATGATTGCCATAATTAATCAGGCTATTAATACTAGAGTAGACATTAGGTGCCATCTCTTAAATTAATAATTATTATAATTTAATATTTTTTTAAATAATTTAGAACCATACCTCTAGTACCAAATTACTTAATTTCTAATTATTAATTATAGCATATTAAATAGCCCATTTAATATGCTATAACGGCAATTGTTTATTTTACGGCAATCATTTGATTTAGTATCAATACATTGGGTTTTGGGAAATTGATATTTATAGATTTATTTTTATTCACAAAGAACAGGCATATCATCAGTGGCAGATCCAGTAGACTCTACTTTCAAACTTTTAAGTTTTAGAGTCTACATTTCACTATCACTAAACTCAAACCAAACACTATCAGATTTCAAACTTAAACATTTGAAACCTGATAGTGTTGGTTTAAGTTTTACAAAGTTTCTGCTGTAATTTTTGCTGGTGATGATAAGTCAAAAGATTTGTAAGTACTTAGGAATTAAGGGAAATAATCTAAAAAATTCTAATAAAGCAAAAATTTACTTTGGCAAGTAGAAGCAAAGTTTAGAATATCAATACATTTGCTAATCTGAACCAGTGCTAATCCCACTATCACTTAAAAAAAACTAATTTTGTTCATTTTTCTACTAAATGTTCCCATCCAAAAGCAAAAAGAAATTGCAGATTATTTTAAAAATGTGACAAGTTTGTAAAATTAATAAGGTAGAACTTATCAGAATGAAATAAAGTTTATTTTATTCACTTAATGGTGTTCCTGTGTGATAGGTTCTACTTCTTAGCAAATACTGGAGGAATACTGGATTCATCACACATAAAACCTTCTGAAACTCCAGTAATACGTGTTTACAAAACAGCGAACGTTTTTGATCCTATCAGGGTCTTTCTCAGGCTACAGTTATGAGGAATTCAAATAAGTGCAAAATGGAACAAGAAACCGAGTGAATGCGATTCAAACTTTAGAACAGCAATGCTAATATTAAAAAATAGAACATTATGCTCGTGTAGAAATGACGTTTAAGCACGTGTAAAATTAAGCCTGCAAAACATTGAATGCTGGTGAAATACACACAAATTAAAGCTAGTTATTGGGGGGTGGTCCCTCATAACAAAATAATTCCATATAATTAATAACTAGTTTGGAATAGCAAGAGTATACTATTGTACTTGAGAATTGAGAAAAATCATTAAGATTTCCAATAAAACAGGAAATGGTGGATATTGATATTCATTTTAGTTTTTCCAACATCTGTTTCTATAAACACTAAAAATTTATAATAGAAGTTGTTATTTGCAAAATCTATATTATAAATCTTCCACATAAATTATTTTTATAGAGTATAAAAAACAACTGTTATCTTTGCCTTTTGTTTATCATTTCCTACAACTATTTCTCTATATTATCTTTCCTCTGCATCTATAGATTAAATTGCTAATTTTAATATTAACATCAAAGTTATAATTCTGCAATTGCAATCAGCATCCAGAATGTGCATATATGTAATAAATTTCTTTTCTGAAACAGATGGATTTATTATAAATAAATTCATATCAAATATAAATTTAATGCTGAAGTAATATTTTCAACTAGTGATAGTTTAACTAGTGATGTTTGATGCTACAGGAGTGATTTGTGTCAACAGATTTTATAAAAAGAATTTAAGATTGTACAAAATTAAACTGATGCTAAAATTATGACCTGTTGCATCCTACAAATTATGCATGGGAATTAAGTATTTAGCATGATTGTAAACAATTCATTAATCATTTGTTTTTGAATGATTGACAAAACTAAGCCAATTGTTTTTATCATATTCAACAGAATCAGACAATTTTGGTAATTTCTACAGGAATTTATTTTCATAACTTTTTATTTTACTCTTATAATTGAATGATTGTCAAAATGGAGAGTAGGTTGCTGAAAATTTATCACAAAATTTATTCTGTTAGAAGTAAAAATTTCTGTTATAATTATATCGAATATGTAAATTTATAATTACATGTTTTAGATTTTATAAAAATGTTTTAGCCAGTTATAAAAAAATTAAAATATGAGAAAATGAAACACAGAGTTTCAGTTTTATTTTCAACAGTCATAAAATTGAAAGTGCACTTTTCTGGAATACTGTGAAATAAGTAAGGAAGCCTTTTTCCCTGGCCTGATGTATATGCTAGGCAGCATACCATCAGGTGCATAAAGCATTGTTTTAATTTTGCTCTATAATTTTTATTAATTTTATTTTTATTGATATCAACAGAAAAGAATCAAAAACTTACAATTTCTCCTATATTATATTTCTTTCTATAAAACAAATCCTTTGAGTGCAATTTTCCAATCAACTAGGTATGATTTAAATTCAAAGATTACTTAGAAAGCAAATGCACTCAAAAATTTATTTGTGCTGATTGTGTTTATGTATATCTGGGAATCAAATTAATGAAATCACAAACAGGAATGATGACAATGAAAGTTTTGAAGATGAAAAGGATGAAAGTATTGTTTCAATGACTCCAAATTTTTTTAATGCAAATAGCTGATTTTTGTATGCAAATAAAATTAATAATAAAAGGTTGAACTGTATTTGGTTTTAATTTTCAAAATATAATTATTTCAAAATTGGGAATTGATTTATACAACAACAACAGAAATGTGATATTTGATCCAAGAATGTAAAATGCTAAAAGATTGAATTTCAAAATAGTAATTTATGTAATTCAAGCAAAACAATTAGTTTTTGCATTTCATAAATTATATTAATTTCAGTATTTTTGTTTTATCAATAATTGTAATACGGAAGACAAATTACATCTTTTCAGACTGGCAAGGACTAAAGGGGTACTAAAGTAAAAATTCTTGACATTTATCTTAACTTCTTTTAATTACATAGCATTAATTTTAGTTATTAAATGAATGATACAACTAATAATATGCTCATGTAATCAAGAAATTTTTTCCTGACATAAATCTATTAACACAGTCATAAACATCAAATTGGAAAAGAAATTCAAATCTGTAAGCAACTAAACAGTACTGCTTTAAACCATTTTCAATTGTTTCACTCTTGTTTATATTTAGCAGACACTTGTTATGATAAAAATAAATTATTTAATAACAGACTGGCTACATGTAAGTATTAACTATTAATAAAGTTGAAAACATGGCAACTTTGTGTTGTTTATTAATAATTCAATGTGAATAAAGTTTTATTTAGTTTTCTTAATTTAAGAAACAACTGTGTAGTAAACGTTTAGTTGTACTGAATTATTAATAAATGGCATCAGTCATTGTCATTGCAAGTAGTAGACTTTAGAGCATCAGTTTTATACAGCTGAATAGTAAGTATAAACTTTGGACTTTGTATAAATAAAGTCCACTATTTTTTTTTCTATCAAAATAATAAATCAGCATGTTTTAGCAATAAAATAAGAGTTAAAATTATTGGAGAATGTAAGAATATTAATAAATTTATTTTAATGATTATTTTTTTATTGTGTAACAAGCAATTAATTAAATTTAAATATTACTGTTCTAAATGTTTTTGGACTTTTATCTCCTTTTAGAGCATGATTTTTAAGATATTGATCAGAAGTTTATTTTTATAATAATATTTAACTGTATACAGTCAATGATTTACATTCTTTGGAATATGTGGCACAAGATCTTTAGTACTTACGCAAATTTTAATGATCATTATATTAATTATTATTTTCAAACAGAATATTTATCATTTGCATTTCAGTACTGAATTACTAAAAATTATCTACTTATTTTCAGCCTTTTATTATCAATTTTAAATTATTAAATGGGATTTGTAAATATTTTAAATTAAGTTGTACCACAGTGTTAATAAAACCTTTCATGAAAAAATATTTCTACATTTTTTCATGAATTCAAAAATATTTCTATCTATTTTTAAGTACAGTAGAGCATTGATTATCCGACCCCCGATTAATCGTTACCTTGGTTAACCGACCATGTTCTAGTCGGCAAATTCAAATGTCTGCTAGTGATGTGGCGCTACAATATTTGGCTATGTCTTGGCTACTTTAATATTATTTTTACGTGCTTTAGCTGGCAACACTGGATCAACCATGAAAGGAAGCCAGTATTTAAACGAGGCTTAATTTTCTAATTTTTAATGATACAATAGCGACGATTATTATTTTAAAAAAAAAATTTTGATAGGCTTAACATGGAGGAAAATTCAACGCGAAGTAGGTTAATAGCGATATACTAATATACTAATTACATGGGATATAATAATATACTACACTAATAATGGATTTTTTAATACTTTTTGGTTATCCGACTTTTCAATTATCCGACCAACCCCAGTCCCCAATTGAGTCGGATAATCGATGCTCTACTGTATTAATTTCCTTTCTGATTTTATTTTCTTAAACTATCTCAAACTTGTTTAAATTTAGATTTTAAAATTTTAATATTTTTTGTTATACCCATAAAAAATTACATAAAATATTTATTTGTCTCATGTGAATTTTTTAAACATTACATATCATGCGTATAATCTTTCAGCAAATAATATGTATTTGAATTAAATACAAAACGGAACATTTTCAGCCTCTTAGGGGCCTGCATCAAGTGTCAAACTTTACAGAACATTAGAGATTCTAATTTTATTCTAATTCTACAGAACATCAGATATTTTAATTCTGTAGAGTTTGATGCTTGATGCAGGCTCCTAAAAGAGGCCGAAAATGTTCCGTTTTGTATTTAATTCAAATACATATTTGCTGAAAGAGTGTATACATGGTATGTAGTGTTTAATTTATCTTGTTCCAGTTGTTAGACTTTTATGTCGTTTGAATTTTTTTTTTAAGGACTATTTTCAAAATTTTAGTGTGTCTGTAAGATGTTGGCTTTGATTTAGTTTATTACTTTAAGATAAATCCTTTTGATTCTATGCTACAACAGCCTGGTTTTTACAGATGCTAATAATTTCTGAGATTACAACTGTAAAAAATGTTATTTCCAAAGGATTCTGTGATGTGTGGTGGCAGCTGGAGTGTTGACAATGCTACATTTTCTCTGTTGAATTTTCACGACAAGAAATTGTCTATCAGTGCTAGTCTCTCAACTTCCAGTCAATTCTGGCAAAATGGGCCTTTCAGTATGAAGTGTTGCTTGATACTTTCATTCAGTTGTGTCAAAGCATGCCATTGCTCCAGTTTGCAAAAATTTTGTCATTCAATTATTTAGAAATCAGAAATAGTGTGAAACTTGCAATATATTTTACTAATGTATTGTGATATTATCAAATTCTGTATTTATTCTTTTTTAAGAGAAAATTGTTTGTATAAATTATTAAAATGATATTTTTTCAGTTTAATATGGAAATTTGAAATATTTTTTATTATTAAACTGGAAGAAGTGTATAAAAAAAGTTAATGTTTGATGATGATAACTATTTAAAATAACTTTTCTCATACAATGAATAATTAAATAGTTTCTATAAATATATTTTAGTGAAGAAAATGCCTATTGGATAGGAAAATGTTCTCTTCGAAGTTGGAGAAGAATGGTTTTGGATCAGTATGAACATGATGATTTGGAGAAAACTAAAACTGAAAATACTTCTGAAATTTTTGATAATAATGAACATTTACTAGAATGTAAGTAATAATAAAATAATTGTGTATGTATAGTTTCATCAGAATATGAAGTGTTTATTTAAATTTCAGCTGGAAATAATGATGACCCTTCCATTACACTTCAGGATGAAACTGATGATGAAGTTCCATTAGGATTTAATGAAGATCTCTTATGTGAACACAGTATGATGGATTAATGTTCTTAATAAATAAATATTATAACTTTCATTTAGAGAATAATAATTTTTCTCAAAAGATTAATTAAATTTTATAAAATTTTAACTTTTAGATAATTTGTCAGTTGACGGAAACACTAGAAAATTAATTCCAGAGAAAGCTTGGAAAATATTTAAATATTATTTTCCTTTTGCTCCTGAATTTTCAAGGAATAGAGATCCTTGTTCTTTATGCTTGGTTAGTTACATATTTATTATAAAAAATTGCAGTGAACTGTCTAAATTCTGGATAATTGATATACAAAATTATTTAAAAGAGAGCCATTTTTTTAATTATTGTTTTCTTATCATGAATAAAATTCTTATACATTTATTCATAATTTCAAGTAACAATACATAATGATGTAAATGTACTGATTACTGCTTATATAACCACCACCACCACCACCTTTTTCAATACATTCTGATTATCATATACAAACAAAGATGTTGACCATATTGATATCTGGTTATTGTATTTGATGAATGAATAATTTTACAATAAAAAGTAGAAACCAAAATTGAACTTAATAATTTATTTAAAAAAAACCCAACATTCTTCTCTTCCATATTTACCAGATTTTAGATTTTCACTGTAAAATTTATTTTACTAATTTTTCTAAACATAATNACGGACGGCAGGAAAGTAGTTCGGCTGCCCGATGACGTTTGAGGTGTTTATAGGGAACTTTTACTATTTTTTACGGATACCGGTAGCAATTTTTTCGTAGTTTTATAGGAATCGTAATTATAGGGACCGTAATTATAGGGGGGTCGACTGTACAAGGAAATGAAATATTTGCCTGAAAACATCTATTTAATGACAAAAATTGAAATACAGTAGAGTCCTGCAAACTCAACATAATGTGGACTGAGAAGGTGACAAGTTACCAAAAATGGTGTGCTTTACAGATAGTGATGATGCTAATCTAAATAACAGAATTTTTGTGACGGTATTATATGCACAAATTTATATATGTATTAAATACATACCAATAATGACTATTTCTACTTGTAGTTAAATTTTAATTTTAAAAAACATATTGGTTTAAAGATGATGATGATATAAGATTGAAGGGGCACAATATTGATTTTACTTAATACTTTGATTATCAAGTAAAATCATAATTTTGTTGATATAAAAGTTAAAATATAAATATTATATTTTGTGCCCAAAATTACTTATTTGAATGACAGTTTTTTTGCAGTGTTTTTTGATGCTTTGATAATCATTGTACTTGATCTGTTGCTATAACGTTATTAAATATGATTTAATTCTGTGTTTTTTTCAAAGATTCAAGAAGCAGAAGACAAAGAAACTCGTGACCGGTATCGTTCCCTTGCTGTTGAACAGAAATCTCTTCTTCAGGAGCTATACTTGGATCGCAATAGACCAAACTGGCAAAAGTCAAATCTAGGACAAAAATTTTTTATAGTTTGTCATAACTTTGTTGAACAGTGGAGGAAATTTATCAAGTAGGATACATATATTTTTATAAATATCTATTTGAAATTACTACAAACTCAATTTATTTTTTAAAAAATTTAAAGAGAACCTGTTCGTAAAGAACCAGTAGTGAATGTTTATAATTCTTTTTTGCTGTGTGAACATGGATATTTATTATATTCATTTGAAGACAGTACAAATCAAAGGTAAGTTAGCATTTTGAAAATTAATATAGAATTTTTATAATTTATACATATAATTTTCAATTTAGACTTCCTGTTTTTTTCTAATGATAATCTAAGTTTAACTTAGATTATGTTTTGAGACACTATGAAGTTTGACTCTAGAAACTGGACTTTTCCACATACATTTTATTTTCCTATGTACTTTACTGTCTTTAAACTAATTGTTACAAGTGCCAATAAGCATTTTGGGCTGGTGCCCCTCATCTGTTGGCAAATACAGTGTACACATTCTTTACAGGGTTTTTATTTTATTGTCAATGTACATAAACCAAAACATCACCATATACTTGATGTAACTTTTTATTTAAAGAATTACTTGCAGAGTTTCATTTTTTACATTGGGCACAGTACCAATAATATTGCACATACCATCAGACAGTAGACATAAGCAACACAGAGAAGTAATTTAGATTAATTAAAATAGAACAATCACACTTAACAATTTGACAAATAATAATATATTTTTATTAACATTAACAGTTACCAAGCCTGATAATAATATACAAACATCTAATTACTGGGTATTTTAGGATGTGCATTAGCTAGTAACCAATTAAAGTAATTTTGCCTAAAGATATATGGTTAAACTGCTATCTTACATTAATTTTAATAAAGTTGTTTCTTGATAAATCAAACTTTATTGACTTGAATTGTGTCCCACTGTAACTAATAATCTCAATGCAATGCAAATGCATATCAAAACATTTTTCAGAGCACGTTTTGATAACTTGGAATCTAGAATTCTATTGAAGTTAATTCTTGTCTGTTGTTGAATATTTTCTGTTGCATTTTCCAGAGGTCACATTAAAATCCACACTAAAATGAACTTCAAACAAAACAAGCATTTACTTATGTACACTTGAAGAAACATACAAAGGTATTTGATGCATTAGTACTTCTAAAGTCACAACACAAAAATACAAAAAATTTAAGAATATTTCACTTCTAAAATGATGACTTTGTTGTTAAGAACAAATTAGTCTATCAAATTTTATAGATAACATATGTTAAATTTCAAAGGGGCTTTCTAGAAGCTTGTCACATGTGAAACAAGATGTTTTTGATGTGGTCAAACACATCCAAGACATTGTCAAGCAGGAAGCGAAGAATTATGAACATCAGACTCATGTAATAGCCTTCTTCCACTAATAGTATAAATATTTTGTACATGTAAAAATCTAAGAAACACTAAAACTATAACATTTAAATCGTAACTGTGGTGTTTATATTGCAATATTTCCAATTTCATTAAAATAATGATAATTTTAT